TCCGCCCCTTGACAGTTTTTACCGCGTCTTTTCGACACATTTACCTTGTTTTTGAAAACTCTCCACAACGTCTAACGATTCCGTTTTAGTGGAAACAATCGCACAGTATTTGTACGTTAAAGCTTTGCATTAACAATCCAACGATTTTCACAATTGAAGGTGGAATGCTAAACGAAACAGCCAGAACAAACATTTGATTTCATCTGAAGGTCTTCAGATTAGATTATGGTCTTGAGCAAAGCCTGTAAAACAAACCCATGGATGATGTGATTTTGAGGTGTAGTCTTAAGTCATTTCATCAGAAAATCAGTATACTTTAGGAAACCGCTCCCATCAAAGGTCTTTTGAGATAAAAGGAAGCATTTATTTATACAGTATATATTGAAGAACTTTGTTTTTAATGAAAGAGATACAAGTAGGATTCTGTCTTTGTGGGCGGTACAGTCTGCCGCACATCTCTGATCGGTTTTCCGCTCAAAACTGATTTTAAAGGTCAGTTAAACTCCTTTGTTCAGCATTAGTAAACTCTTCGTTGCTATTATATTGTTCTGTGGTATAACAGGAATTCCGTTCTAAATAAATCATAAAGCAGTGTTTGTACTATGCTAATTTACTACCCACACGAGGCATCATTCTACTGTAGCGACTACGAGGCTGTATAATAGTTTCTCAAAGTTCCATTTTTACATCATATTTACCCTTTCAGAAATATTAAAACCTACCAAAGTGAGACTTTGCGAACAAAATCATTTTCCCTTTAATGAAAATTTGAAATTTACATGTAGTCATCTCCTATTACATTTTTGCGGCATTAAAAATGATCCATATTTTTTGTAGTTCAAAAAGTTTTAATTTTAATCTTGTGTTGCCCGTTCAAAATGTGATGCAGTTGTGCGCATTTAAGTGCATGTCTCCAGCCAAAGTATCTGAAGCACTACTTTTAAATCACTGTTGTGAACCGTGAGCCACATGTACAGTGACATTTGAATGGGATGTAATTACCTTTTCTAAAAACCAAAAAATATGAAACGTACCATAATAGTACAAGCAGCCTCTTCTGTTACGTGATCTGTAAGAGCTCCCATGTGCATTTTAGCAAAAACTACACAGTGGCCTTTACAGATCCACATGGGCAACCCTAACCTTCCTGTCTGGAGTTTCAGTACAGAGACCCACTTCAGAGAAGTTAAACATCTACGCACTACGCACTGCTTAAACTAAAAAGGCAGGTATACCAAAAAAAGCTCTCTCTCACAACAGAACATGTTCAGAAATCTCTCGATATCAGGAGATAGGTCAGAGTGCAGTAGGAGTGGGCATATCTGAGAACAGACAACAGGTATTTTTTTCCATTTGCTACTAAAACAAAACCTTTTTTACTATTTTTTCTATGAAGTAAACTGTTCTTAACTCTGCAGATGACACCTAAGATACCCAACAAGATCTTCTAGTGGAGCTGGTATTTGGAAATACATTTCTATTGTGTAATAGAAGAGGCAGGCCATGTTTTTTGTAACAAAATTCAACTTGTTTAATATACAATAAAGTACAGCATACTGGTCAAAGGCTGGAATTGTCCTAAGTATTAAAAAAGGCCTATAACACAACTGTACACTTGTCTGTACAAAGCTTGTATAAATCACTCAGCCTATTCACAGCAGTATAAATTTACAGTGCACCTCCCCAAAGCACAC